TTTAAACAGAAGGTGAGACCTACCTGCATTAATGGGTATAAGACAACTTAACTCATCTTACAGGTCAATGTTGATAAGTGCCTTCCTACACCAAATTCACTAGGAAAAAATAATTAAAACAATTGTAGCTAACTCATTCTAGCTACAATAAGAGATATCTAATTTTTCCTCAAATCAAATATCATTTATAATATTATCATATCATATCATATCATTTCATCAAATATTATAAATTATAAATTATTGTGTGCTTAGAATATATGGATTGCTAATTAAACAACATTCCCCAATTTTTAAATGATATGGTCACTCACAAAGGGATTTTTGAAATTAGAATTATGCTTGTATCTTAGGTATTTAGTAATTGAAACTGTATTGGGTTTTGTTTTTGTTTTTTTGCAGTATTCAAGTGTTTCCCTGCCTAGAACCCAGCTACTGTTTGCAAAAATCAAGAACAAAACAGACCAAGTTGCAAGAGGAAGAAGACGATGATATAGGACTGGCCAAATACTTACCTAAGTCTTTACTGTTACCCATCAATACTTTTGCAGGCATTATTCGATAAAGAAGCTGATAATCCCAACCTTTCAAATCTTTTGTTGAGTTTCATTAGGAATTAATCCAATGAAAGAAAGATATCAAGATAAAAGAAAAAAGTATTGCCAAAAGAACAAAACTGGCTTTTAGCAATAGAAAAAAGAAGAACCCATCCAATATAGGAAAATTTTGTAGCTTTGCAATAGCATGACAGGCCTAAGGAATCAGAACAACTCCATGAATAAGCCAAAGCAGTTTATTTATTGTTGGTGACAAGTTTACAAGAATCTTGCCAAACTGACTGCATTCCCTTGAGAACCAGGGAATAAGGGCTTCACTAGTCTGGCCTTTGTGGCTTCCTACCACAGACTGACACAGTGCTGTTGCATCTCTTTACTCCCCCCCCCCTCTCCTTTGACCAGTGATTCTACCACATTGCATGAGATAAAAGAAAGTGGGCTCTGGTGCGAAAGAAAACAAGGTATGAAATCTTTAAGCTACTATACTGTGTTTTCTTTGAATACAGCAGTTCTTTTTTACGAGATTAAGAAAGAATTGCTTTCATTTTATCATGTGTATGGTAAATGTAATTAGATTCCTTACGCAGAGGCTTTAATTAAATCTCAGCTGAGGCAGGTGTTGTCATAAATTTATCACAGATAAGCTTATTAAAAAAAACCATAGATAGATAAGCTTTGTTCCAAAATTAAGAATTTAGATTCAATGCAATGTTTGCAATGTTTATTTCATTAGAAAATAAGTGGAAGAATATTAAACAAATGTGTGCATGAATCCGTACACATATAATCATGTAAGAACCATAGTGGTGCAATGGCTAGAATGCATTACTGCAGGCTACTTCTGCTGACTGCCGGCTGCCTGCACTTTGGCATTTTGAGTCCCACCGGTTCAAGGTTGACTCAGCCTTCCATCCTCCGGAAGTCGGTAAAATGAGGACCCAGATTGTTGGGGGCAATACGCTGACACTGTAAACCACTTAAAGTGGGCTATAAAGCTCTGTGAAGCGGTATATAAGTCTAGGTGCTATTGCTATAATGGTAGTCAAAGAAATAAGAAAATTTATAAATTGTATAGTGACTGCCTTTATTTCTGATTGTCCCCTTTTGCTTATCTATGAGCTTATCTACATTCAATACATTATCTACATTCAATACTTTTTCAGGAAGCTAATATTTATTTCAGCAAGTCTTTTGGTGTTACCTAGCACCTCTGCTTGCTTTGGTCATCTTGACACCAATGGTCTCATATTGCAAGAAACCTAAATTTGTTACTTGAATGCTCTGTTGTTTATCCCTCTTTCTCACTTCATCCTAAAATAATGTCTTTGTGACCTTCTTTCCAATTGTTTTCCAACTTTACTGATATCTTTTCTCTGGCCTGGAGCTTAAGCTTTACCTTTCCCACTCAATCATGGGTCCCTTGGGTTTAAAAAAAAAGCATTTTATTGAGTTATAAGATACAAAATACAAAAGTAAATAGGAAGGCAGTGGGGGGAAAAGAGGGAAGAGAAGTGAGGAAGGACTGGGAAAAAGAAAAGTTATTTCTGACTCCCTCTGTTGCAGTAAAATAACGTATTAACATCAAACCCCACAACTTTTTGCTTTTTCATAGTAATATAAACTAGCCATTTCTATAAGTATCTATGGGTCCCTTGGTTTTGATCTTGTCTTATGTCCTGGGATTTTCTCAGCCTCATTTCAGTCTCTTTTTAAAATGCCTTTGTTCTCCAGTCACATTATGTGTCTAAATAAATGTTTTTAGTATACAGATAAATATATCCTTGAATCATCCCAGTTAGTCCATGCAGTTTTCTTGGCAGTGTTACAAAATAGTTCTTCAGAGTCTTACCTGCACCACCACACCTTTGCACTTTTAGTCTACTCTGGAATTCCCAGACAACCCTCTCATTTAAAAACTGACAGGGCCAAGTGCTTAGCTCTTAATATCAGCCAGGCTCAGCTGACTGCTGCCATCTACTTGTGATTTTATTGAGGTCTGTTACTATACAGATCTATTACACAAATTGTGATAATATATAAAATTCATTCTATTTTGCTTCACTTGTGATTTTGGGACCTGTATTTTCATGAAATGCATATAACCATACCTGAATCAGGTTGCTGAAGAGTGCTTTGATTGTGAAGTCAACAGTAGGTGATTATCCTGAGGCACAGGTATTGTAAATGAATGGATCATTCCTATATATGATGGAACAGCAGGACTAAATGATCAAAGTTGAATAGAGTATGTTCCTCCTACAGTATTAAAATATTCTGTTTTTCATTTTACTTAGTGGCCCTCACTGGGTCTTCAGGGCAGTTTAAGAAATAATAATACCGGTAAAATGAAATGACAAAAATAAAAATTCTAGTAAAGTATGAACATCACAAGGGAAGAAAATAATCATTTTAGAGATGTTATGAAAGTTTATCTGCTTTCTGCAGTCAGTGCTATTACACTTTTTATATTGCTTTCTATTCAAACCTGATTTTAATGCGCACGTTCTCCCTATATATAACATGAATAGTTTACATGAGAGGAACAGACCACAAGTTTTATGCAGCATGATGTTCATAGTTCTCAAAAGCAGCCTTTGTACAGTTTTGTCTTTCTATTTTTGTAAGTAATGGATAGGTATGGGCATAGGGTTCCTTTAATTGCATAATTATTTTAAATAGACAAAAGCTGGAATATGGAAAGGATCATATTCAAAAGAGCAATAATACAAATTATATAGGTTGAGCAATGGCTGATAGAAAAACAGATCATATAAAACTAATATTTTCATGAGCTGCTGTGAAGATCAATCTCTTTTTAAGAAATAAAAACTATAATTTTAAGCATGGTTTAAAGGGTTTCCTAAACATGGTGCTGCTGCTAAATGTTTACAACCCAAAAGTTATTAACTGTTTTGAATATTGAATTATATCTGTATTAAATGGAGATGTACATTGTGTAAATACAGTATAAATTATTTGTATAGTTATAACATCTGCTGGAAAGTGGCAGTCTTTAATTTCATTAAATTACTTTTTAAAAAGTTTAATGCTATATGTTCCTGTCATTTTTCTTCTTTAGACAACAATTGGAGGTTATATATATATATAATATATATAGTGCGCAGGTCTTGGCGTGTTCGGGTCATGTGTAAGATTGAGAGAAAACAAATATATATATACCAATGAATTGAGATATAAGGATCCAATATTGCTCCCAGAGTTATTAGAATTTGGGTGGAGGGAGGGAGGAAGGAAGGAAGACATGGAGGAATTCTTCATTTAAAATAAAATAGTAGGATCTTTAGCAAAGCTAGTATTTTTTTCACTTTATTATGCAATTAAATATAATTTTGTGGGGCTTTTCTCTCTAAAGAATTTAGTAACATCAATTCAAAATAAAAGTAAACTGCACTACTGAATAAACATATCGCCTCCACCAAAAATATTTGGGACCTTGGAATGTTGACAGGATTGCAAGACAGTTTCATTCTAAATAGGAACTGATTTTAGAAGATGAGCTTTTAAATCCCAGTTTTAAACTGGTAATAATTCCTATCAATTATGTCTAATTTCAATTCATCTTATTCACAGCTCACTGGTTGTGACAGTAAGACAGTATAATGAGCCTAATACTGTACTTGATCATCTCGGTTTGAGCTGGGATATGATATCCTTGGGAAACTTGGCAAGGGCTCATCATGATGGTGCCATGTTTTGTTACTGTTATTCTAAGATTTTGAAACTTTAATTTTCACAGTAACACCTTTGTCCCACTTTGTTGCCTGTTATCCACACTTCATTTACATTTTTACCAGTTTGAATGAGTTACATGTAAGTTAACTGCTTGGAGAAAAATTGATCATGGTTACAGGATACACAAATTGCAAAATACATGTTTAGTACAATAAATCCGTAGAAGGGGCAATGCAGTTACAAAATAAAAGTAAACATTAGAAGGAGCACTGTCTTTAGGAGATGGCAACACATCACAGGATAAGAGAAAATTAATAGAATAGAGGATAAAGGATAAAGCAAGTTTTCCTTCTAGGAAATGGAAGCAAGACCAGACACTGAAGATTTTCGATTCTCTTATCACTTTCTTTCCAACGGGTCCCAATTTGTATTCCCAGCGAGCAACAATTTGAAGTTATTTAAGAGTAAGAAGCACTTACTTTTGGAGTGAGCCCCGTAAACTATACTATATTTCAAATCCCGAGAACAACTATGCGAGCATCGGAAGGAAGACTTTGCAAAAGGCAGGAAAAAAAACGACAGGCAGAAAGAAGGAAAAGCTGGTCTCCGGCGTTTGAGCGTCGAAGGAAGGCAGATCACGCGGCCGGGCGCCTTTTCCTACTTCCCAGAATGATTCCTCGTATCCTAGCAACTGTTTGTCCCTCCCCCTCCAACGGAGGATGAAGGAGCGTTCCAGCAGCTGGATAGAGGCAGCAGGTGTACACCGCTCTGACAGGTACCCCGGCGCATGCGCAGTCGGCGTGCTCGGAATCGCAGGCCGCCTGGAATAGCGGAAGAAGCTGATTGATCGTTGCTTTCAGGTAAGAGAGGCCCCGTATTCGGCAGCTGGAGTTCAGCGCCGGAGAGGCGGGCGGCCGCAGAAGTTGCCATGGCAACGTCTCCAAGGTGCGGGGCCGAGGAGGGGAGTCCCCCGCGAGCATGAAGATGAGGCGCGTGGGGGGGTGGGGGAAGGGGCCGCCGCCCGCGTGGGGCGAGGCTGCCGGTGCGGCTGCTGCTCAGGCGGGTGGAAGGCCAGGTTTCCAAGGGGGTTCCTTCACTCATGGGCATAATAAAGGGTCTCATGGCCCCGAAATGACCAGAACTGGCATCATCAACCATCAGTATTTCACGGCCTCGATTGGCACAAACAAGGAGAAAATGGGCGGACTGTTCTCAAAACCATTTAGTTTTTTTTTTCCTAGAAAGGTGCAAAGGCCGTTAGAATAAACGGTTGTTAATATACAGCAAGGACTATTTTAAAAGGTTGGGTAGGCAAGGCTTTCTAACAAAATGCCCCTCCCTTTTAACATATCATTCTCTCAAATATCCTTTTTGTGTATGTGTTTGTTTGTGTGTGTGTATGTGTCTGTGTATACTGAAAGTGGAACAAGGTTAAATTTTAAATAGATGCTAATGCTGCCTTCTTAAAATGTGGAGGCTATGTTTAAAAAAAAAAAAAGTATCATGGCCCAACTGGAGCTACAATTGGAATCTGGTTATTTGCAGGATTATCAATCTCATTCTGTAAATTCCAGAAGGGGTTGATATCCTCCAGATCCTATGATTAGATGATGTCACCTGATGTGACCCAAGAGGCCTGTCTTCTCTGCCACAGCATCTGCCTTATGGAGCACTTCCCGCCTCCCACATTTGGTTGGCCATAACCTGGCCACCTTTAACAAGACCTGGTTGTTCCTCAAAAGGCCGATGGAGGATTATATATGAGTGTGTTGCAACTGCTGTGACTTGTTATCTATTTGGCATTCATACAGCATGTTTTATTATTTTTATTATGTTATCTTTTTCCTTTGTGTTTTTAACCTCTGTTAGTTGCCCAAAGTCACTTGGCAAGTGGATGGACAGAAACAATGAAAAATAAACCCATCCATCTTATTATCTAAACTGCAAAAATCCAGAGGATGCTGGAGGGTGGCTACAGAAAACATTAGCACCGATCTTCTGGACTTTTTTAGCCCAGCTATGCTACTTTTAGTTCTTATATTTATAAGAGCATAGATCCCAACATTTCCTTAAAGCAATAGCCATCTGGCAGTCCATAAAGAAAAGATAAAGGCACGCACTCCCCCAATTGTTATCCCATAACTGATATTTAGACTTACTGTATTTATATGCAACATTGAATCTTTAGGACAAATAACTTGTAAGACTGGGTCTCAATGATTTTTTTTTTTCATTGGTCATTCAAGCAATTTGGTTCAATTTTCTCTGCAAATATGGCCAGCTTACTATTTGCTCCTAATTATCAATATTTGTAAAACACTGATTTCAGTTGCACTTTTTACTTCCTTATCCATGTACTGTAGTCCTATTTTTACTTTCTGTTTATAACTAGTTTATAAGCAGGCAGTTTCTTTTAGTCCATGATTATTGCTATGTTTATTCAAAAGCTTTTGATGAGACACTCACAAAATACAAACAATTTATAATAAGTATGCCACATGAAACCCCAAAGAGAGGTTGTGCCTATGAACATGTAAATGTTTGACAGTCCTCCTATAGATGTAAATGTAGCTTCTGAAAACAAAGTTGTTCATGTTGTCTGCTCTTTCCTACTTGAAGAGTTTTGTTACACCTTATAGCTCTCACTATGTTTTCTTTACAGTTACAAATTCACTTTCAAAACATTTTGTAAAATTGTAATTTTAATATGTTTGGCTCTTATTCAATTACTGACTGATATTGGAGCTTGGTGTTATTTATATTTGATTTGATTCTAGAATCCTAATTCTGTACTAATGCTAAAGCTAATGCTAATCAAAAATTTGAAATATGAGTTTAATGATGTTATCTCTCATCATTACTTTTATCTTCTTCTTTTTTTTTGTTTCCATGATAATACAAGTGTTTTATTTTTGTCTCTTTCTCCAGTCCTAGCTTCTAAAATATATCTCATTTAATGAAACAGATAAATTCAGTAGCCCGATTCTTAAAATTATTTTAAAATGTGTCTATCAAAAAGCTGTATTTTATATGTTCAGTACCCTGTGATATGAATTTATATACTATATATAGCAAATACAATGTTTCCCATTAGTTGCACTGGATCCCATTATTTTGATTAACAACACTTTCTAGCATAAATAGTAACATTTTTCCTCTAAAATAATTTTTGCTTTATGGCACATATATTAAAATTTTTGGAATATTGTTTAGTTTTTAAATTCTGAATCATTTCTTTAATAATATTATTGGTGACTGATGCTACTCTTTCATACATCATAATATTATATTTTAAATTTATATACATACACATACACTGTTTTGGGTCTTTAGCTTTTTTTGTTATTTTTTAAAAAGGATTTTGTTGCAAACCTGTATGTAAGCGTCCCTTTGAATTTAAAAAATTATTTAACGGTTTTATCTATTCCTTATATAAGAAAGAAATGTCATTTATTTTACTTTGAAAAAGGCTTAGGATAAATGTAATCCTAATCAAACAAAGGCATATTTCAGTGTAATTCTGCTTATCTACAGTACCCTGAAATAAGCATCAATAAATTAAATGGGCCTGGTAAATGTATAGAGGATTATAGTTTAAGGGAATCAACACATTAAGAAAGGTATTTTCTTGACTCAGAACTTAGGTTTTTCTTTTCATTAATTCCTAAAAAATGTATCTTATAGACAATGTTTTTTCTGTAATAAACCAGTTATAATGTTATTGCTGTTGTATTTATAGTTGCATTATAGGTTTGATTAGTGATTTGTAGTCGTATCAAATTAAGAAATTCAACATATTTGTCCTATGTTATAGAGTACTGATAAATCTGTCTTTGCTTTATTAATTTGCAGGGCAAAAGTGGGAACACAGACTGCTTCTGAAGCCATGAGTACAAATAACCAATGGGATGTAAACAAAGCACTTACTCTTGCCAGTCTTTTCCATTTTCTTTATGGTGCAGGAAATGCTTGTGCAATCCCATTTTTAACACTCTACTTTAGGCAGCTTGGGCTGACTGCACCTCTAGTAGGGATTATAATAGGACTCAAGCATTTAATCACTTCTCTTTGGGCCCCACTCTGTTCCTATCTATCAAAAGCCCACAATAAAAGGAAAGTATTTATTAGTGGGTCATTGTTTTGCTCAGTTGCAACAGTTTTGCTACTTACACTCATCCCACCAGTGAGCAAAGATATTATTTATAAATATTGCAACATGAGCCAGCATCCCACTAAACAACTGACTACAACACAAGTGCCTTATATAACTATGAACCATCTGAATGCAATGAATGATAACTCTTTTGCCGATAACAAAATGTGGTCTACAGAATCACTTGGAATGATCTCAAAGGACCAAGAGTCTAAGAAAGAACCAACAGTAATGTATACCTCATTCAAAATAAAAAATATTAAAACTCCTATGATAAACCAAGGTAGCAATGATGTTGCTATAAAGCCACAGCAATTTGTAGATGCCTCTTCTGGTGTGACATCTGGTATTTCTGGGGAAGCTTTTGTCCCAGCAGAGCAAAATTTGGAAAAAACTACCGTGAATGTGCCTTCGAAAGAAACTGCTGGCATCATGACTGTCAAAGAAAATGCTGACCAAAACGACTTGAGAAGAAAGAGTAACTTCACATTTTACACAACCCCATCAGCTGTTACAGAGGTACCTTATGTACTGAAAAATCTATCAGGGCGCAGGGAAAGAGCACAAGATATAAGCTCTCAGTTACTTCAGGGCACTAACTTCTTGGACAGTGAGCATCAGGTCTTCCTTATGGTGTTAGGTGATATTGTCCTTTGGGAGCTGCTGGCTGGACCACTTGAGTGGATGGTTGATGACAGTCTCTATGAATACCTTGACTTTGTGGATGCTGCTGATAGATATGAGAACCTTTGGATCTGGAGCTACTTGGGAGCATCTGTGGGTGTCTGCAGCACTGCAATATTTGTGGATCAACTGAATTGCTTTCTGAGTACTAATATTCCACGTTTTGCCATGCATTTTTATGGCTATGCCTTGTTCATGACACTGACGTTACTTGTCAGTACCTTCTTTCCCATTTATGTGTCAGAAAAAAAAGAACATGTCAATAAAACAGTCAAAGCTTTGAACCTCATTGGGAGTGACGGTCGAACCATCCTGTGTGCTGTCACCATCTTCCTCACAGGAGCTATTGGCTCAACTGTGCAGAATTTCCTTTTCTGGCAAATGCAAGATCAAGGCAGCCATGAATTATTCATGGGCCTCTCGGTGACTATTGGACTAATTGCTGAAATCCTGCTCTATATCTTCAAAGGCAAACTGCTAAAGGCGCTCTCTGGTGGTGGCACAGTTGCCTTGGGATTAAGTTGCATGGCAGCACAACTGCTCTACTATTCTTTCCTCTGGAATTCCTGGGCTGTGCTGCCAATCCAGGTCTTCTGCGCCTTCAGCAATGGCGCGTTATGGTGGGCAGTGAACATGCTGACAGATGACGTGGCCACTCCTGGCACAGAAAGGTCTCTGCACTTGGTCCTTCAAGGCCTCTCTCATGGATGTGGAGCCAGTTTAGGCAGCTTTGCAGGAGGGTTTGTTGTGAACAGCTTTGGTTTAGCAATGCTCTACAGAGCATGTTCCATTACCTTAATATTGTGGCTAGTTTTGTTCTTGGTTGCTCAATCTAAATTACCACGACATAAAAGGATTAATTATTCCCGTCTCTTAGCTGCAGATTCTAGTGATATGAGTGATTCTGATTATGATGAAGAGAAAGAAAGGGACTGGCTTGTAAAAGCTATGAAAGATGACAACTTTACTAGGAATTGGTAACTAAGACTGGATTTCAACAGTCCACTGCTTCATCAGAAAGTAGACTACGGAGAATTAGGGTGAAGTTTTTAGAAATAATCCAGACCGGATCTGTAAGAATGTATTCTATTGGCAAGTCAATTTTATGATGTACATATTTGCTCAGGAAATTATTATAAAGATTTTATAAATATTTTATTTTCTTAAGATTAATTTATTGTACATATTTATAACAAGTCTGCTTTTCTAAAATGTTCATTTTCAAAACTAGGGGCTTTCAACAGAAATATTCTGGAGGTTTTTTTCCCTTGATGAGAATTGGCTTTACAGAGACTGATCATTTTTCTAAACACAGAATTCTTGTTTAATTATTCTTACTTTTAATCACAATTAGTTACTTTAAAAATGTTCTCCTTGTTTTTCTTTTTTAAAATTAAAGGTCATTACAGATATTTCAGTATTTTGAAAACTGAGCTGAAATTCTAAGGCACCATTTAATTCTTTAGAATGGCATTTTTTCTTAAATCTACAGGATACATTTGATCTAATGTTTAAAATATTCATATATTAAAATGTTTCCCCCCAATAGTTGAAATATGACCATAAGACCCTCACAAATGATACATTAGGGGTATAAATTAGAATGGTCACTTACTTCCTGTTCAAATGGAAAACAAACATGCATAGCATTTGCACATGCAAATTTATATTGATATATTGCAAATCTAGAGATAAATAAAAATATATCTCACCATAATGAAGGAGCCTGCTACTTAGGTGCTGATGATTTTAGCTGCTACTTTCCCTTTTTGTTGTCTTTTAAACCAGATTTGGCCTCCAAATAGAAGTTTCTTCTCTATAAAATGTGGTCACACAAGCAGTTTATAGGTGGCTTTAGCATTCTATCTTGCATTAATAATATTTAGAATTCTTATGTTTCTATACATCTTCAGGATATATGGAAAATATTATTTTGGGTTTTTTTCTGTATGTTTTATTCTTCCAGTATAAAATATGACCTTTTGTAAATATCAGCGATTTTGTCTAAATATACAATGGTAATACAATCTGGTTTAACAGATTCTTTTTTCAGAACAAGAAGGCAATAATAATAAACTGCTTTGAGGGCTACAGTCTCACAGTAAAGCATCTGATTCCCAACACGTTTATTTAGAAAATGCACTATTAACAATTATTGCCTTTGTATGTACAATTACTGAAGAATGGGCTAAAGTTTCAGAAGAATGTTGTAAGAATCATGGGGGAAAAAATTTCCAATTTCATGGTAGAAATAAATTCACATGCAATCTCTACAAGTTTTGCTCCCATTTTGCAGTTAATAGTAAGCATCAGCTCACTATTTTTCCAATAAAAAGTGTTGCTGCTAACAAGTTGCCTTTTGATTGGAAGAAGTTTGGCTTTTCATTACAACAACAAAATAAAAATCCATCCATAGATCTTGGGAATGGAAATTGCTTGGGTGATTTTACAAATATTTTATTGTTTTATTTAAAATCTAACATATTTAGCAAAGGAATGTAACTTGGGAGTTTAGAAATAAATATAGGAGTTCCATTTTTGGAATATGCAATGTTGTAATTTACAAAATTTAAACTGCTCAATCTACAAGCATAGGTGTACCTCCTTTTGCCATTCTCAGCTATTTTTTAAAATAAGGTGCTTATGATTTCAAATTGAAAATTCACCCAATTCTATATGTATGTGTTACCAAGCAATTTTAAATAAATGTTTGTGTGTATGGTAGGCATAAATCTTGCATACTTATACTTAGCTAAGAAAATCAGTGTATTCTATATTTATAAAATAATAGCTTCTCATTTCTGGTAAGCACAAAGAATGCACCTTCTTTTCATTTATTATAAAAACTGATTATTGGTACAAAAATGAGGGGAAAAAAGCATTGATTTGCTACACAGTATTATGCTTTCTGTTTGGCAGAGGACAATATAATAACTGGGCGAGGGAGACATAATTTATATTTATCAGTAAGAAATGGATCACATTCCAGATTGCCAGTTAAGGATTATCTCTGGTTCAGATTTACTTTGTAATGTACAGACTTTGTAAATAGTAAACTTATACAATGGCTTTATTCTATTGCCAGAGTCATTTTGAACGTTTATTTAGTCAGTTATTATTTTAATATTGCTTTTCCTAAAAATCAAAGTCAAAATATATAGCAGTATTTGCCATTAAATATTCAACAATTTGGATTCCTAATTGTTACATAATTATTGAATTACTTGTTAGTAAGATCAGAGAGTAAAAGAAATGAATTTATAAGCACTGCCATGCCGTAGACCCGTATTTTTAATACCCATACTACTATACTTTTAAGACTCTCATCACTGGAGGCTGAATGCTGGTGTTGGGGAAAGGATTACACAGGTAATCCTCAACATATGACCACAATTGAGCCCAAAATTTATGTTGCTAAACAAAACAGATGTTAAATAAGTGTTGCCCCATTTTACGACCTTTCTTGCCATAGTTGTTAAATTAATCACTGCAGTTGTTAAGTTAGTAACACAGTAGTTAAATGAATTTGGCTTCCCCAATGACCCTTTTTATAAATTGATACCATATTTTTCTGAACGTTACACATCCTTCACAGGCACCGTGTTCACAATGAAAACTTTGAAGGAGTGTTTCACCTTGATTATTTGAAGTCCCGCTTTGAATATGCTTGTCAAACAACACACCACTTTAGTGTATTTCTTTTATGTTGCTTTAGGATCTTTAGCATTCCTAGCAGGTAAAATATCTGTGCCTATTTCCATTCCAGATTAGACACTTTTTTGCATGGAGACAGGTCTCTCCTGGCTACAGAACTGCTGTATGAAGTTTTGAGGTGACAGAAAACACCTTTTCCTGCAGAATAGCATCACCAACTCAACAAACTCTATCACCTCTATAGTATGAAGCCTCTTACTTAGGCAATGTACTGGTGAGAGAGAGAGAGCGAGGGAGAGAGAGAGAGAGAACTTTCCAGGAAAATCTTGAGATTCCAACCTGATCCTGCCTAATTGCATCCATTTTAGTATAAAACAAAGCAATCTCATAATGTGCCATAAGTTTGCCAGTCATGCCAATAACAGAACATTCAGCATTGCTTGCCAAGAACTGATAATAAAACATACACCGCTTGACTGACAAACATTATTTGAAAGCATTTTTATGTAATTTGCAGACAAATCTTACAAGATCCAGTAACCTAAAGATTTCCTTTGTATGAAAAGTCACCATTCCATATATACAAATAAATCCATTTATTTATAAATAATAAAATAGATCCATTTTTCTGCTTAAAGGAGAGTATTGGTTTACACTGATCCCAACTTTGTAAATATATTCTGTTTTGTATGTCAATTAACTGGCAATATGCTAGAAATTGGTCTTGTCTTAGGCAAAGCCAGCTATGTAATCTATGTATCTTCTCCTTCTGATATGCCCTTTGTAACCCCTAAAGATGCCTTCTGAAATCTCTGAGTCTTGACTTGTTTCATTATTGATGAACCTAAATATGAATGAGCCTTTCACGTACATTCATGGGGTAGGGTGTCTCAAAGGAATCAGATCCAGTACTCTGATTTGCTTAAGATTTCAGTTTGCCAGGTACCAGGTGTCTCAAGAGAAATATATTAACAAAAAAAGACTAGGAAAGATGTTCCTCATAATTTATTCTGAAAATACATGAATCAATCTTGACTTTTCCCAAACTATTTGCTATACCCTGCAAAAGAAATTTGCTGAGGACAAACTCAGTGGTGAATTAGTGATGAAGTATATGCCAAAGGCCTGACATATTTTTAACTGCATATTTTTCTCAATTCTGCCTTTAGCAAATAGGTCACATTCTCTTTTTCTGTGGAGCAGGGCACAGAAAAAATATTATTTCTTCTCCTTCTCTACCTCCTCTTCCAACATCGTCCATGATTATGCTGAATTTTAAAATATCAAAATGGGATTTTCCAATGAATGACTTTGTTGATCAAAGGTATAATCAGGATGCAACTATGAAAGGCAGATCTGAGTCTACACAATGTCCTTTCAAGCTGTTTTCCTTGGTTGCTAGTTCTACCTACTACTTCTTAACTGATGGTAAGAGAGCGGTTAATCAGGCAATTCCCACTTAGTTCTCATAAGGCTAAAAATTGGAAAATTCATGAAAAAAGTTTCCTTTCTGTTCACAGGGGCTTCTGTTTCTGAAAAAGTGGTTCATATTTTTATCCTTTGCCTATTTTTTTTAAATTTAAATACCCAATTTTTCCTATCCACAATGGGATTATAAATGTAAGATGACACAATGTTGAAACTTGTAGGCAATGCTTCATTCAATGAAATGAGTCATTTTCATAGCTTGGAACATTTCTTCATTTTACATATGTAGTACAGATGCAATGCTATCTTAATTACAATTTATTTACATACTTACAACAATCCCTTAATTAGGAAACTTATACAGAGTATGGTTTCCAGAATTCTTTCCAACCCTTTGTGATTAAGTGGGACCAAGGAGGAGTATTTATACTGGAGGAGTTAATGGTGTTCTGAGCTTTAGTCTTATTGCCACTCCCATAGGGAAGTATTAGGAAAAATTTAGCCAGAATGTTTTTCTCCATAGTTCCCAGTTGGATATGATTTTTATTTTTCTGGCTTCTCCCTCCAAAGCATACATGTTCAGTTTTTGAAGAATTGTTCTAATTTTGGATAGATCAAATTCCGAGTCTCTTAGCCTGTCAATAGTACCAACTCTCAGTTTCAATAGCTGATTGTTGTTGTTTAGTAAAACATCTTTGGTATAATCTTTTGTTTTGCAGTTAGGTTTGTTTGTTTGTTTAATTTATTGAGGTCTTTGACCAGCCTTGGCAATAAAAGAACACAGTAAAAAGAGTAATAGCTTAATACAGCAACTAGTTATTAAAATGATAGGGCAATAAAACAATGTATCTAATTAAAAATTTTGCACAGTTGTGTAACATGGTGAAAATATTTGGCCACCTGATATATGAGTGTAGAGTTAGCGTCCCTTAAAAAATAATATATATAAATTTTATATGCATGGCTCTCATATTTGGGAATAATTGGGGCAATCAGACGAGATCTTGGGGCATCATAGAAAGGGCACCAGATGAGAACTCTTGTCAAGTTTTCTTCACATTATCTACCACAGGATAGGCTATAGAAAGCCATGCCTGTTTGTGAATCTACACAAAACCCATACATAACATTGTCTAGGGAGATTCTCAGTCATCCAGTTCATGGTCATCCCAGATGCTTTTTCAAGAGCTGAAGAAGCTTCTTGGATGAGAAGCAAAACGTCTTCAAAGAAAAACCAGAAAGTCCAGTTGCCTCCTGAAAAAAAGCATCTTTGGTTCAAACATACATTTTGCTCTAGTAGTTGATAAGCAGAAGTTAAGAAAAATACAGTCTTAAAAACCAGGAGGGAACTTCGGGGAGAAAAAGGGAAAAGTTGATAGGGAAAGTGTAACGGCTGGCAAGCTAAGATGAATCTAACCAGTATTGGTAGTTGAAGAGAAGTTACTGGTTTTAATCAACAGCAATATTGGCTGGTAACCTGAGATGGACAAAGAAGGGACATACTGCTGAAAATGTGCAGGTTTGACGAGAGGCTGTGTGAGGTAACATTCTCAGAAGTGGAGCATGAAACAACCCAGAGAAGAATGCTGAAGATAGGGGTCTAATATGGGACAGATTCTGTCCAGTAGGGAGAGCTCTGGGGAAGCCAGAAGACCAGAAGAGGAGCTACTAATTTCCTTCTGTTAGGCAAGGACAGGCTCACAGAGGGAAAAGGCATCCAGTAAGTTATTCAAACAGGAATAGAGTCTTTAGAAATTGAGAAATATGTGTTCAGGTGGCTACATTAGAAAGCGTTTAAGCTACACAATTTCCAGTAGAGGAAAAATAATATTTTACAGTACGTTTTAAATCTAAATCCATGCCTTCATTCCAGATCAAAATGCAGGAGTGTCCAGGGCTGGCTTACCCAGTAAACAATTTTGCTAAAGAAAATGGCTCAGATTGAAAGTATTTGTTTTAATAAAATGGATAACACTCTCAAGAGGTGTTTTGCATTTGTTTTTTCACCAAAAGTGATAAAAACTATGAAACCACTATTATCACATGCAGCAGTCAACTTTAAATTCGTTGTTCACCTAAAATAATCCTTATTATTTGACCACAAACTCTGTTCTACACACTCTACGCAGTGCAACATTAT